AATAATATGTGTGTCGTGCTTATTCGAACTTAAAATTTGCTTGTGATCTCCAATAAATTTTTTTGCCAAAATTGTTAGAGCAAATATGTAATATCGGAGGATAACAAGGTCTCCAAAAAGGACAAATATAGTTCTAATGAGTTGTACCAGGTTTTAAATGAAAATAATAAAGAAATGTTGGAAAATATGGGGAAATGGATAATTTTCTAATTTTTAAACAACTTGTCAGATTTTTAATTTATTATAAAGAAACAATCTCGAGGTGCTTGAGGAGGGAAAAGTGACAAATAAATAAATAAATAATATTATTAAAATGGCAAATTACCAAAATGCCCCTAAAGATTCAAGGAATTACGATTGCCCTTGTTAACCAAATTCGATCCTCTATTCTGCACATAATCTATCTCATACCTTGAAATCTATTAGGTGGATCTGATTTCAATATTTGAAATTTTCATAGGTCAGGAATGTCCTGATCGAAATAAATTTTCCAATGAAAAATCTTTAAACATAAAATCATGATGTGTTCTAGACATTTCAAAGGCGGTGATCCTTCGTCTATAAATTATGAACTATGGGCAATCGTTTGGAGCAAGAAGCAAGCAATATCAAGCATTCAATGGAGAGTTACAAGCTTTTCATTTCTGGATATTGAGTTCTCGAGTTCAATTCAATTCGAGAGCTATAGCTCACCATTCCCTCCAAATTTTATCTCACACCTTTTAAATAAGATTACCCACAAGTTCGATGATTAAAAGAAGTGCTGCAAACATCCCAATCTTGTTTTTCATTTCTTTCGCCATTAAAGAAGCTCGAAGAAACTAGAAAAAAAAGTAAATTCGAGGCTATGGGAAAATTCATCATGTGAGACTCATTCCAATCAATTTTTACCCCAAGGGAAAACTACGAAGAAGATTTGACCCCAAGAACATGCCTAATTGGAAAAAATCAGTACCAGGTAAGTTTTGCGATCAAACAAAAACTCTTGTTTATCGCAATTATTATTCAAAATTAAGATTTCTATTAGTCATAGGAAAACAAATTAATCATATAAGATAAAAGGGTCGAGTGCTAATTCATTCGAAATAAAGCTGCCCAGAAGGATCAAACTCTGCATTTTGAGTTGAGTTCCCGAACGAAGGTGGAAATCTAGAAATTGGCCGTGTCCATGCCAAGTCGTCCTTCCAAGTTTATTCCTCTAGTTTGAGATTAATATAAAGAGAAATATATTCATGATACGTAGGTCCTTAGTATTGAAACTGATCGAGTACATTTTACACTTCTTTGCCACAACAATAAATGACAGCAAAACAAATAAACTTATCAACTTAGAAGTGACATCATTGTGGCTTCAAAGTTTTCATGGTCATGAACTAATAAATTGTAACAACCTAAAATAATGCTAATATGTATTTTGTATGTATGGGTTGTGTGTTTGATGATAATAATAATAATAATAATAATAATAATAATAATAATAATAATAATAATAATAATAATAATAATAATAATAATAATAATAATAATAATAATAATAATAATAATAATAATAATAATAATAATAATAATAATAATAATAATAATAATAATAATAATATAATAATAATAATAATAATAATAATAATAATAAATAATAATAATAATAATAATAATAATAATAATAATAATAATAATAATAATAATAATAATAATAATAATAATAATAATAATAATAATAATAATAATAATAATAATAATAATAATAATAATAAAATAATAATAATAATAATAATAATAATAATAATAATAATAATAATAATAATAATAATAATAATAATAATAATAATAATAATAATAATAATAATAATAATAATAATAATAATAATAATAATAATAATAATAATAATAATAATAATAATAATAAAATAAATAAATAAATTAATTAATTAATTAAAAAAAAAAAACGACGAAAACGAAGCAGCTGCGTCAAGCAGCTGCTGTAAAGGAGGATGAGGGGCGGCGGACGCGTAGACTGGAGGCGTGGGATGGATGAGTGGATGATTAGGGGATGTGGAAGCGTATTAGAGCTGGATTAAGCTTTAAAAAGGAAGAAAAACGAAGATTTGTGATTCGCGAAAAACCCAGAAAACAGAGGAGGAAACTTTCTGAGAATTCGAGTTTTGGTTGCTTAAAATTGGACATCAATCGAGGGTAAAGGAAGAGGGGTTGTTGCTGAGGAATCGTTTGAGGAAGGGGATACAGCCACGAGCTGAATCGGACGGTAATTCGAAGGTAACGAAAAACCCACATCACCGAACCTTTAAATCTCGATATCTTGATTCATACTGCATAATAAATTACGAAATAAGGCTTGTTAGAACCGTAGTTAGGAGATCTATAAAGTTGTAGAAGAAATCAGCAAGAAATTCGAGCTGTAGAGATGAAATTTTTGCTTCGGGACACAACGGGTATTAAGGAAAAAGATTGGAAAAAATTGCAGGGAGGAGAGGTTGAAGACGAGCGCGTGAAGGACACGCGAGGCGCGTGGGAGGCCGCGAGTGGAAGTGCGACTGTGCGAGGATCAGGCGCATGAGAAAACTAACATTGACCTTGTGTTGGCACGTGAGGGCGCGTGCGAAGGTATTTTTGCTCCCGGTTTGTCCCGTTCGACTCCTTTTGACCTATCCTATCAAAATTGGTCTATACTTATGTTAGAATTGATAAAATATAGGTCTAATAGGAAGGAATTGTGTTGAAATACTATTAAACGTACATTCAAGGGGGAAAAGGAGTTCGCAACCAAGTAAGTAGCGTATCGATCTTTGAACTAGTTCTTAACTTGTTTTACAACATGTGAGTATGTTGTTTACCTGATTAAGAGCTTAATATGTTATGATGAGCTTTGATGATATTAAGTGTTTATTGTATATTGTGACTGCTTGCCTGTGATGTAAGCATAATATAAATGATTGTCAGAATGTTCTATGTGTTGATCATGATACATGTATGGAAGCATGCAGTAACTGTGAGTATGTTATGCATGTTAATGGAAAGGTTATGACTCTAGATATGCTTATTGGTGGTTGAGCTATGGCTTATTTATATGAGTATGATAATCTACTAATTCCCGCGGAGTTCCTGGCCAACGCGCTGTGTGCTAAGTCAGGGAGCATGAGTACTCCTGACCGTTGGTATATGAGATAAACAGGCCACCAGAGCAATTAGTAGACGGGCCGTATTTGACCGAGAGCGAGTCTTACATACGAGTCCGAAAATTCTAAGTAAGCATATCGAAGGAGAGTCAGTAACCTAGCTGGAGGTAGCTGAGATACCTCATTAACGAATAGATGACCCTAGTAAGAGAACTAGGAGTCAGTGATGAATAAAACGTAAAAACACCTGGAAAGATTAGTTATGAACCCGTGAATGATAAGCTAGCTACTTACTGAGTAATCTAATTACTCATCAGAATTATTATAACTTTTCTTTCCAGATGTAGATGCTGCAGGCCAGCCGAGGACGAGACCAGCGGGCTAGAGACTACTGGGAATCCATGTCTGGGTCTGTTATTATGTTTCCGTTGTCAAGAATTTACCTTAGTCGTTTTAAGTTTTTTAAAAGTACTGTTTTTTTTTAAAATATTTTACTGGATGTTTTTTTTGAAATACTTGAAATTTTATGATTGGATATCAGAGTCTCTTAATTATTGTCGATGTTAACTCCTGTTAATCGTTGACGATAAGCGGGTGTTACATAAATAGTCAATATTAAAAACCTCATGATACCGAATCCATGAAAGTTTCAGTACTATATAATGATTAAATTCATTGGGAAGGACACGGTCTACACTACCTTGCCATATATGAGCACACCCTTCCTTGAATTGAGTGGTCAATTCCATGGGACCGAACTCCCACTTTCCAAAAGCAGCCAGAACATCTTGGTGAAGAGATTCATATTCACCTTGTCATGTTATTTCATCCTGGAATTGGTTGCAAAAGAAATGTCAGAACATACAAATATTACAGCTTTGGCAAACCAACTAGCTTAAACATATGTTCCCCTGCCTTTCAAAATACGCCTTCCGCTAATGATGGATAGTTAACAATAGTTTTTATGGGTGGTTTTTAATAGCTTTTATGGGTGGTTTTTAGTAAATGATGGGGGAGAAGGCTAGAGACATTGATGTTGATGACATTGATGTTGAGGATCATTGGGAGAGGAGTCCCACGTCGGTTAATTAAGCTATTGATCATGAATTTATAAGTAAAAAATACATCTCCATTGGTACGAGGTCCTTTATGGAAACCAAATGCAAAGCCATGAGAGATTATGCTCAAAGTGGATAATATCATACCATTGTGGATAGTCGTGGTTCGTAACATGGTATCAGGGACATGCCACTCACTTAGCCATATCACTAGAATACTTAAATGTTGAACAAAGAATTTGTGGGTCTCGATGTGTAGTCAAGAGTGACTAAAGTGTCCAATAAAGGGTGTACTTTATTCGAAACTCGATTAAGGGGAGGTTGTTCGAGAACTCCATAGGGCTCAGGGAGGCTTTATGGTGTACATTGTTTGAGGGGAGGATTGTTGAGGACCGTTTGGGTGTGGAGTCCCACATCAGCTAATTAAGGGGTTGATCATGAGTTTACTAGGAACATCTCCATTGTTATGACCATTTAGGATTTAGGGTTTAGGGTTTAGGGAAACCAAAAGCAAAGCCATGAAAGCTATGCTCAAAGTGAACAATATAATATCATTATGGAGAGTCGTAGTTCCTAATTAGGTTCATATTAGCAGGAACAACGGCTTCTTTTGAAACCAAAAGCAAAATCACGAGAATTATCGGACAGTTATCTAGAGTGTCTATTATCTTGTTTAACAACTCTAAATCGTAATCAATGAACATGCCTTCGCTCAACATTGATGGGAACTATTTCTGTTGGTCCACCAATAGTATATCCAAGGTGTGTAATGCGCATTCCAAAGGTGAACTGAAATAATAGAGGAAGCTTCCTAAATGACTGTTTTGCTAAAGTCGGTGGAATGGAAGGCCACCAATAATTCACGAAAGGAACTATCAGGAAAGCTCCTAGGAGTCTGTAAATTATATAATCAATTAGCTCACCCAAAAACAATAATTCATGATCATTTTGAAAACATCAAATTAAAATACCTATGTGAAATGTATTTCAGATAGATCCAAATCGGGTACGCTCCCAATGAACATGTAAAATTTGCCAAGCTCCAATTTATCAGTTAATTCTTCGATGTCAAGTGCTTCAATCTTTGTCGAGCGTGATGGATATGGATCACTCTCTCCGTAACCAGCTCGGTCATGTAATATTATGCATGCGTTGTGCTTCTCCATAAGTTCCTAAAACAGATTGAATACAACTTTTAAAAAAAAGAATGAAAGTTGAAGAAGATGAAGAACAATGTGGTACTTGAGAAGCAGCTAAGTGCATATGTCGGGAGTCATTATAGCCATGAGAAAGAATGATCTTGTGTTGAGCCTTTTCCTTAGGAACTCCGAATTCTCTGTGGGCCAAATGTCTTCCATCATTGAGTTTGACTCTACCCAAAGTCAGTGGAGGACCATTTTGTGATCCACATATTTTTGGAGGTGGCGGTTTCAGTGCTTGATAAACCGATCCAACTAAACCGGCTGCAAATGCTACTACTATTGGTATGATCATCTGTCTTACAAAAAAATAAATAAATAAATACATTCAAGATTGTTAGAGTCGTACGTTAGCTAATTAAGAAGAAGATCATAAATATACAAGGAAAGATTGCTATCTCCATTGACATGAATTTCTAAGGGAACCAAAAGCAAAAGTACGATGAGAGCTTATACTTAAAGTGGGTAATATCATATCAATGTGGAGGTTCATCGTTCTAATTAGTGGTATTAGATCCATTCTCTTGTGTTCAATTAGTCAAGTTAAGAAAATCATCAATTGTTGAACAAAAAAGTTGTGAGTTTTGAAAGTGTAGTCACATTGACTCAGGTGTCAAACAAATAAGTTTTGATTCTCAAAAGTATAGTAATAGTAAAGATTCGTGGTACTGTACTCTAGGTAAGAAGAGTTGTCTAAATAATGTCAAACAAATAGATATTATTGGTTAAGAGGAGATGTGTACTTTGTTCGAGGACTTTAGAGAAGAACGTGTCTTCAATATTTTCTTCGAGAAGAGGATTGTTTGAGAATCATTCAAGTCCAACATTGATTAATTAAGGAGAAGTTCATTAGTATATAAATAAGAAACACTATCTCTATCAACTATCAAATGTTTATAACAACGTCCCATAACTCAGAAAACTTAAATAATCAAAAGAAGAAAATGAATAAGATTAAAAAGGAATAAAAGGAGGGAATTGAAACGCACCAGAACGAAGTGAGGAACGTGGAAGGTCAGCGCGGATCTCTGTGGAGTGACAACCAATGGTTTGGTTCCTTTATAGCCTGAATGGCATAACCCATATCATATTCTCCATTCATTATCAAGAACTCAATAGCAAATCCTAATAAAGGCAATTCCATGTATGCCAATATAAGAGAGTAAAGTATATACTAAAAGTATTTAAGCCATTAGTTACGTATTTATGCAAACAATTTACGTATTTCTTTCCTCTAAATGTTGTTTTCATTATTTGCGTTGGCGTTTACCATTTATGGTAAGGGAAAACAACATTTATTATGCAGGTAACACGTTTTTTTAAATTGGATTGGTATGTGATTTGTACATATATTTCAACATGACCTTCAATTACGACCTAAGAATTGGAAATGTAATGAGAGCATTGAATTCAATAATAAATCATTCAAGATAAGTGTAATATTTCAAAAAAAAACAAAACAGTTGAAAATTCGAGGGGTTTCATTGGTTGGTCATTAGAGCGATCCCTCAAGAAGAGTTGTTTAATTCTACGTCCACATAAAACCGAAAATATAGACCAAGTTTGACATAAATGTTTGGTTGTTCTTGATTGTAATGTTTTACGGTCATGCAGCGTCTTCGACACCGATTTTCGACGAGCACACAGTGATCCCAACGTCGACAACCTTACTTCTACTCCGTTCTTCCTCCGGAAACAGCAACTCTAACGTTCCGAGAAACCCTCCAAAATACCGAATGAATCAACCCACTCGATTTACTTGTAAGGTGCTTTTGGTACTACCCTAGAAACTTAAAGATAACGCAAAATCAAGTAAAAATGTAAGGATTAGCCCAAGGACCACGAATTAAGAACCTAAACATAATATTTTTCTCGAGAATCACAAGTTATAAAATTAACCCACTAAATGCCATTTCCTGAATATGAAATTTTAATGGAGGCCTAATACCATAAATAAGGGTGTATGCAAAGTTTTACGTACATAGGAGCATATCTAAGCCTTAAACCAAAAAAGAGGGAAAAATTATCCAAATGCTTCAATGATGCCCGTATGTTCATGACTAAGATGGACTCCAAATTACTAAAAATTTATATGAGCCCTATTTATAAGATTATGGATGACTTCACTTCCTTTTAAAATCATTAGAGTATGTTTAAAGGCATAGATTTAAACTTGGGTAGAAAAAGCCAAAATATCCCTACTATGTCAATAATATTTCGACATAAAATTTTATAGGAAGCTTATTTATGCTATTATGAATGACCCTAATGAACCTTGTGTAAAAATTCATAGTTGTGAAGAATTCCAACTGACATTATATTTTTCATGACACTCATTCATTATGGATTTATAATGTTTCTTTACGGTTAAGAACCAGATAAAGTAGGCTAGTTCCTAAAAATGTAAAACCCGTACCATTCTATTCAAATCTGTCTTATGTCCTAAGTCACCGTAAATGTAATAACAAAAACAAACAAATAGAAAAAAAATAGAAAACAAAATAGGAAAATGAAAATTTTGTCCCATATTACTTAAAGTAGAGAGGGTTGGTCTGTGTATAAAAGGGAGGTCCCTCACTTTATTTTATCATCTCATTTCAATGGTTCGAACCCAGTCAGAGAATACATTGTCTAACAACTCTAGGTTAGCATTTTATTAGGTTTAGTTAGTTTATATTATATCAAGTGAGCTAATTCACATAGTAGAATGTCAATCTACCGTTGTGGAATTAAATTTTAGATAGAAGCTAGCATCAAAACATCGTAGTAGCTTCGGCCGAAGCCAACCAAGTAAGTATCCCTACCATAAGTTTGGTTATAATTGTATGCTGAATGATGAAACGTGCCCGTGGCTTGGCACGTGTCATATACTCATATATGTAAATTATTATGATATGATATGTGTATATGAATATTATGTTGTATGTGATGAATTGATATGGTTACGATATGATATGTTAAGATATGATATGTTCGAAGACATGCTTAAGTTATGCTATATTACTGTTATGATATATGATATTATATGCATAATATATGATATGATTGACATGAATGATATATGATATGATTGGCACGCAAAATGACGAATTAGCATGGGATACAACTCTAATATACGCCTTGAAGATACGATAAAAATGATATAATAAATGATAAGATATGAAGGAAAATGTAAGAGGGGTTGTGATACATGATAATGAAAAAGAAAAAATGTTGGGACCTCATGCATTATTGTGTGTTCATGCATCGAAGGATGCCCCTTCCTCTTTTACGATAGTACGAACGCGTATGCTACGAGGCTAGGAAATGATCATTATGTTTTCCATAATGCTGTCATGACGGCCTCTACTTCTAATGGATTTTCGGCATCAACAGCTACTAGAGAATCCTCGCTCGACCAGAAAGGGGCCTAGGAGGTGTGCGAATTGACTAGTGGGTTCATACTCGCACTTGTGGACCATGTGTAGTAAATTAAATACACATCCAATTGCTGACTTATGATAGCCGTAGTAGGAAAATAGGTTGATGCGATAGCTCATTCATGATTTGTATGTCCTTGCAATTAACTCCAATAGGGGTCACTAAGTATTTCTTAAAATGTTCAAGTCATGTGTTACTCTTATTTTTAGGTAAAAGCAAGACTCCCCTATACGGCTGACAGTGGCATCTTCAACCTAGGAGACCGTGACATATACATATGGTAGTTGTACTTAATTTCTTAAGACTTAGGTTAGAATAGAGTGTTTTAATTTTAACGTTTATTTATTTCATTTACTATTTCGTTGTGTTGTTTTAAAAATGTTTTCGAATGCGTCAGTCCATAAAAGTGTTTTAAGATAAGTTTATGTTTTATTATAAAGTTTAAACACTTATTTCCACACAAAATAATTATGTTAGGATGACGGTAGCCACTCTAGATAAATAGAAATCTAGGGTAGTAATACTAGACTGCCCCATATTTAAAACAACTTGATCCTATATTTTTCCTCACCAAGGTAAGGTGTCCTATGTAACCACTGTAAAAATAAAAATAAAAATAAATTATAATAATAATTAAAAAAAAATTGGAAGGCCTCATTCCTTTCATCTCACCACTCCTTTCCTAAAATCCTTAAAAAAACAAATAAAAAAAGGTTTAAGGTGGAAGGAGATATGTCATTTAAGAAGATAAGGCTAATCGGTTAATTTTAGATTAGGGATCAAATGAAAAGAATTTTGTATGAAATTGTATAAAAATTATGAGAAGGAAACAAACATAGATAAAAGGGTTACATTGTGATTCTAATTAAAAGAAAAAAAAAAGAAATACACAATAAGAGAGAAGAAAATATATAGAAAATGATAAAAAATGTATTAAATGGTTTGGATGAAAATAATACTATAACAAACATATATGTATAAACATTTCAAGACATAATTAATTCAAATACTCTATCGTTCTCATTAAGTATAACACATGGACCAACGTAAATTAGAGAAATAATTTTGTACAAGTTTGAACTTCAAACTGATGTCATGGGCTCACATAGATTGACTTAGATTACAATGGACAGAATCAAACTTTCAATAAGGATAAATTTGTGACAACAATGTAAGCTAATCAGGTAAGTGATATTACCATCGACATACTTATATTTGATGCTAACGTATGCTTTGTGGTTTTGCATGTGTCATAAATTTAATGTGTGAATTGTTTATGAATCGATATAACTATGATACGTTGTGTATGCATTATAATATGTGAATGATATGATAACTCTTACGTTATAATGTGTTCTATGGTATGTTTGAGATAGGATACGATAAGGATGCGATAAACGTAATATAATGATATGACTAAGATATGATTGATATAATGATATGGTTATGTTACGTATAAAAAAGAGTATGATTATGATAGATTGATAGGACGATATGGTTAGGATACGTTCTTGTAATAACATGCCTAATTGAAAAATTTAGTATCACGTAAGTTTTGGGATCAAACTCAAACTCAAATTCTTGTTTATCGACCATATTTTTCAAAATTAAGGTGTCTATTAGCCTTAGGGAAATAAATTAAACATATATGATGAAAGGGTCGAGGGCTAATTCGTCCAAAATATAGCTGCCTAGAAGGATCAAACTCTACGTTCGAAATTGGCCACATCCATGCCAAGTTGTATTTTCCAATTTTATTCATCTAGTTTGAGAGGAATATAAGGAGAAATACATCTAGATATGGAAGTCGTTACATTAACCTAAGAAATTTATCTAGCTAGAAGTGACCTCATTATGGCTTCAAAGTTTTCAGGG